AAAATTGGAATTTTGGGGGGAAAATCGGGAATTTGGGGGGCAAAATCGGGAATTTGGGGGGGAAAAATGGAATTTTGGGGGGAAAATTGGGAATTTGGGGGGGAAAATCGGGAATTTGCGTGGGAAAAAATGGAATTTTGGGGGGGATAAAGGGAATTTGGGGGAAAAATTGGGAATTTGGGGGGCAAAATCGGGAATTTGGGGGGAAAAAGGAATTTTTGGGGGAAAAGGCGAATTTTTTGGGGAAACAACGGGAATTTGGGGGCAGAAAAAGGGAATTTTTTTGGTAAAAAGGAGGAATTTGGGGGAAAAAAGGGAATTTTGGGGGGAAAAATGAGAATTTAGGGGGGGAATCGAGGCCCTATAGGGTCAAGGGGGCTCCATAGGGGCGGGGGGTGAGGGGTGGAGTCCGTGGGTTAAAGTGAAAATCCCCAGGGGAAATGAAAATCCACAGGAGTGAGTGAAAAATCCATAGGGGAAAAGTGAAAATCCATAAAGGCGAGTGAAAATCCATAGGGGAAATGGTTAGAGGAAATTAAAATCCATAGGAACGAGTGAAAAATCCATAGGATAAACGAAAATCCATAGGGGAAAAGGGAAAATCCATAGGGGAAAAGGGGAAATCCATAGGGGAAAAGGGAAAATCCATAGGGGAAAAGGGGAAATCCATAGGGGAAAAGGGGAAATCCATAGGGGAAAAGGGGAAATCCATAAAGGCGAGTGAAAAATCCATAGGGGAAATCCATAGGGGGTTAAAGGGGAATCAGTGGGGGATAAATGAGGGGATCTATAGGGGATCGATAAGGGATCTATAGGGGATCCATAGGGGGTCCATGGCGGATCAGTGGGGGGGTCAATGGGGGAATCTATAGGGGATCTATAGGGGACCTATAGGGGATTAATGGGGAATCTATAGGGGATCAATGGGGGATCAATGGGGGAATCTATAGGGGATCAACGGGGGATTAATGGCAGATCTATAAGGGATCTATAGGGGATGAATGGAGGAATCTACAGGGGATCAATAAAAGGTCAATAAGGGATCAATTGGGGACCTATAGGGGGAATCTATAGGGGACCTACAGGGGATTGATAAAGGGTCAATGGAGGGATCTATAGGGGATCTATGGGGGGGGGTCAAAGGGGAATCAATGGGGGATAAATGAGGGAATCTATAGGGGATCCATAGGGGCCCCATGGCGGGTCGATGGGGAATCTATAGGGGATCAATGGGGGATTAATGGGGGATCTATAGGGGATTGATAAAGGGTCAATAAAGGGATCAATAGGGGATCAATAGGGGATCAATGGGGGATCTATAGGGGATTGATACAGGGTCAATAAAGGGATCTATAGGGGATCTATAGGGGATCAATGGGGGATCTATAGGGGATCAATGGGGTATCTATAGGGGATCTATAGGGGATCAATAGGGGATCAATGGGGGATCTATAGGGGATTGATAAAGGGTCAATAAAGGGATCAATAGGGGATCAATAGGGGATCAATAGGGGATCAATGGGGTATCTATAGGG